CATATATATATATATATATATATATGTATATATAATAGATTTGAAAAAAACAAGTCTAATTTTATAAATTACATCAAGTGTATGTTAGTGATAAATTAATAAATTCTGCATTATATAACACTGATGAAAAAATGTAGAAAACAAAACCAAAATATCAAGAGTGAAACTCAGAACTACTACTGTCATTTAGATGAAAGATAAAAACTAGAATGTTCATCAAAACAAATCCAAATACTATAAATCAATTATCACATTATTAACACACACTAAACAAAAAATTAAAATTTATACCATTTGTCAAGAAAGTATAAAAAAGTGTAATTTTTAAAGGAAAATGCATGTGGTAATAGCTTCTAAAAGCATTGGGAATACCACATCTACCAAACATAATCCAAAAAATAGAGATGAGAAATAAGATAAATGGCCAGGAAGATCAAACAGGGGTTATGTATTGGCTGGTTTAATCCACAATATTCTAACATTACTACCACTTACCACCCATAGCTAGTTTTGGGAATGGTAATTATCTGTAAAAACCATGAAAGATGTTAAAATTAACATCATTGTAGAAAATATTTTGTTGTTAAAAACCACCCTTAATTTCTACACTTCTTAAACACCCAACATACACCCTATAAACTTAGCATAGCTGTAGAAATTTGTTTATTAACAAAACTACTTGTAAAACTCCCAACCTCCACCGATAGACAATTATTACAAAATGGAAAGAACTATGAAACCTTTACCTAAAACGTTCAGTAATAACTCAGTGCCCATCCTCTTCCCTTAGCAAAATCATTCAAGAACAAGCTAGACTAGCCAAGACAAGCTTAGCTACTTGAAATTGGCCTTTTTAGGCTTGGTATACTGAATGAGTCACCAATTAAATTATAAAATGAAATTTAAAGATAACATTTGTAACATTTAGGTGTCCTTGAAATACTATCATCATCTTTAGGGTCACATATTAAAAATAAAGGTAATCAGATCATTTAAAAGGATTTATTTCTAAGGGGTTATAGTATTAGTTACAAAAGTTTAAAAACTCAAATTCCCAAATTTTAAAATCATTAAATTTTAATTTATTTGCTAATTTATTTAATTTATTATTATAAACTATTGACAGGGATCAAAATTTCATAGCAGAGATCAAATATAATGGAAAGTAAAATAACATGACATAGGCATTGTAAATTGTTTCAGTAAGTATTTTCATAAAAGTACAGATACAAATTAATCATATTTGAGGACAAACCGGTTCCCACAGGAATACCAATTACCTGTTTAACTACTTGTTCATTAAAAACAATATAGTTATTATATCTATACATAAATTAAGTGTATTTTATGCATTGATTTTTAGTTAACTTATATTTATAAATAACTAATACTTAGGTATTTGATGTACTTTATCATATTACACTTGTTTGATTTCTTTATATGGAAAATGATGTTAAGATGCAGATTTATCATCCTTTTCTTCTTCTTTCCTTTTTCTGGCATTCATTTGTCTACTTGTTCTTAGCCTAGCTAGCTATTTATATCTTTCCAAGTTAAGACTTGATAATAATTATAACATGAATGAAACAATAGCTACTTCAACCCACAGTTTAGCTAATTGTTTGTCATAAACAAGAGATGTTAAAATAGCATTTCACAGAATTTAACCCTCCATCATACCATAGTTATGAGAGCGATACTATTATTATTTATTTAAAACTCAAATAATTTTTTTTGTTTTTTAATTTAGATATTTTAATTGCTCAACATTAAAACATTAGGTTTACTTTCTGCTTGTCTGGATTTGAATGTTGAAAACATGTGTTGATCCTATTTTTTCTAATGTCAAAGCTATTTTTATTAGGTTACATTTTATGGTAATTTTATACATTTTTATTTTTCCAAATAATTTAATTACATATACTAAGATTACAACTTGGTCAATCATTTTCATAGATTTCATGAAGAACTTGAAAATTTAAAGTGTTCTAGAAAGAAATTACTTTCCGATTTCATTCACCACTAATATCCTTAAGAACTTATTTAAACAGACTTTACCCCCCTGCCAGTTCTCCTTTTTAATGTGCAAAACTTTATGGTGTTTCTTACCTTTTCATTTATGGGAAGTCATGGTACTCAGATGAAATGAAATTTGTTTTAAGTCATTGATTTATTAGGATAATTTATTGTTAAGGATGGTATCTCTGTACTTTAACACTCATACATTACTTAAAGTTTTATCTGCTCTTGCTCTGGACAAAGCTAAGAGTGCAATATTCTGTTGACTTTCAACAAGTATAAAAAGCACATTTGAAGTTCTTTATATTTTCCACAACTGTCTATATTATTTGATTGAATTTAATAATTCAAACTTCAGAATTTTTGTACTATGTAAAGAGTACTAAAATATTGTCTGTTAAAGAAACTATTTTCAGTCTATGTTTGAAACCAGATTAATATTTATTTGTTTTGGCAATTTGTTAACCATATTTTCCATTTAGAATTTAGTTAAAACAGAAATTCTCTGAAAGCTAACTGTGAAAACTTAAATGTATTTCATGACTAACTCTGATTAGCTGCTAAACAATCCTACCTGAAAACTGTAAACATTTCCTGTTTTATTTACTGGTAGGTTCTGTACAGTAGAACATACATTATTAAGAGTATTCTTCTCAGCAGTCTCTGCTTCACTTTTGAGATTGGTACTTGTACTTGGAAGTTCATCTTTAGTTTTGTTAAAAAGTGTGTTTTGACCTGTTAACACAGAAAATTAGAAAACATTAATGCATTTGTCAGAATGTTTGTAAAAACTGTTTTTATAGATAAGTTCTTCATGTGATATTTTTTCAAAATACATACTGGACATAGAAGTCTATACAAATCAGACTGGGAATAAAGGTGAGAAATGAATGGAAGTGAAATCGGTGAAAAAGAAATGTCCCTCACTAGATGCCAAAGTGTTGGGCAGGAAAGGTTGATCCAGATAAAGATGAACATATATTGAGTGGAAGAAAGTATGTGAAACAGCTATAGCAAATATATCAGACCAAAGATGGCCAAAGACTAAAAGGAGTAAGAATAAGTCTGAATGAATAAGTGAAACACTGAACATGAGGAAAAAGGTTCAAAAGGAGGAAGTGGAAGGCAGTGAAGAACAATATTAACATTATAATCTGGAAGAACTAAATGACGAGGAGTTCTACAGAAGGAATGCAAAATGTACCAGTTGGTCCAGTCTTGCCAGGGCCTGAGGAGGATGAACTGGACACCAAAAAATAATAATAACTTGGTGTTTGAGAAGAGTGGCACAAGCATCCAGATGAGGAGTATCGCACTGATTGCATAGCCACCTGAAAACCTGAGGGTCAAGAGACCACTTCATGGGATAAACGTAGTTGGGTTTTGAAAAACATTCTGCGACAAGGTGGAAATCCCCCAGAACATGACACGCAAGGAAAGTGATCTGCAACATGTGAGCCCAATAAAAGAGCTCTAATGTTCAATCACAAAGGGAACAGGAATGAAGGCCCCTTTATTGGCAGAGATACGCCACAACAATGCAATTATCGGAATCAAGCATGATGTGTCAGTTCCGTAGAAGAGGAAGAAAGTGAACCAAAACATGTTGTACCACCAGAAGCTCATAACTGTTGATATGGTAGGACATTTCAATCTGAGACCATTGTCCCAAAGCCTCTTACTGATGGATCATCACTCCCCAACCTTGGAGAGAAGCATCTGGTTGAAGGAAGCAGTAATCTCATCTATGTGTTGACCTTGTTCAGCCACCAAAGCAAATTGTCTGTAATAAAAGGAGGATGAGTAATATGGGAGTCCAAGAGATCCTGAGCAATAGTCCACTAAAAAGAATGCATACGTGCCTTGAAACAAAGTAATAAGGGTTTCCACAGAAGCCCAATTCCCGAAAAGCAACAGAACCTAGCATGCATAGAGAACCGAAATAAAAAGCTCCATCGGAAGAAGATGAAGTGGAGAAGGTTGAGCCTGAATGAGGTGGGTGTGGACAAATACACCCAAGTGGATAAGATATTGTGTAGGGAACAGCTATCTCCATATTCCTATTTCTCAGTTCAGATGCTATCTTTGGTTTGTCCACTATAGGTTTGTGTATCAATTCCTTCCTATCCTTTTGGGCTTGATTCAGCACTGTATGTAATTTTTTGGGTAATCATAGCCTTTCCCCAACTTGTCCATGCTCGAGGGTTGTGTTTACACCACTACATGGACAACTGGCTCCTGTTAGCTCATTTCGAACTGCAGTCTTCTCAACATGCACTTCTACTGCTGATAGAAACAACTCATGTTGGTTGGATTCTCGGTTTGGAGAAGTCTTTTCTTTTGAAAGATGTATATCCACAGTCTTGGAAAAAAGCACATTCGGGTGTGATAAAGGATTTCATGATAAATTAGTGAAGATCCAGAAATAGCTTGAGACAGGACAGATGAATTACAGGATGACAGTCCCCTGATTTGGTTTTGGGATGACAAAAAGCCTGGAGTAAAAACCTAGAGAAGGTTAGCTGACAGGCTCAATAAATCTATGTGATCTGTACAGACTTGAATAGATGCAGACTGGTAGAGGGAACCCTAGTTAATTGGGGAGGAAATTGGTACAGGAAACAACAGTGGTGAGAAAAAGAAACAAATGAAAAAGTCCTTCTGACAAAACTTGGATCACCCAAGAATTGGTAGTGAATACTCACCACAGGCTAATAAATTGGTCAATTGTGTCCCCACTGGACAGGAAACCACCTGAAACTCACTGGAATAGCTGGTGATGAACAAACATTGAGATACATGGCTAAATTTCAAACCCATAATGGTATGAGATTGCAGGACAAGAAACAGTTATGGGAGAGGTTATAAGATCAGAATGACACAAATCAGAAAAGGGTCAAATGTGGTCACTCAGATTCCACACATAATTCCAAAGACTCAGGAAAATCTCCAAAAACAAACCAATGGAGAAAAAGAGCCATCTTGAATTCACAAAGATAAGTGGAAAGTAGATGAACCTGTGACAAGAACACATCCTTCCCAATAAGATCCCAACTGCAATGAAATCAAGGCCGAAGAGGACAATCAAGCCAATGTGGAGGTAAGGAGGGAAAGGGTATCCCCCCAAAACCATTCAGGGGATTGGTGGAGTGCCTCAGAATGTTGGATAAGTACTGGAGGAGAGCTGGAATGCTAAGACAACAGGTGGAAACTGAGCTTGGGAGAAATGGATAGGAATTTCAGGGACAGCTCCCCACAACTGCCCCACAAGTGACTCCAACTGCTGCAAGTTTAGAAAGGGATGATCAGCCTGCTGAGAAGCCAAAGTATAATAATTATAAGCCCATGGAGGACAAGGCATGATAACACCAGCCCACAATTGAAAAACGCAATGCTAAGCATGAACCCTAATGTCAGGGGTAGGAGGGAAAATCCAGTACTCTATGTATGGGTGACATGTAACAAGAAAGGAACAGTATCATATGAAATGGGTGAAAATGAGAAAACATATGCATATCCATAAAGACAGGGTTAGGCCTAGTAGATTCAATAGGAGATGCATGGGAGGAAACAGGAGGAACCCAAACATGTTCGGGCGAAGAAGGAAGACTCACATAACGATCAATCTTCTGATGAATGGTAGCCCAGAAATCCTTAGTCGAGACCCTAAGGCCTAAAGCCTGTGTAATGGCACACAAAATAGTGGTAAAAATATCAGAAGTTGTAAAACCCAAACTTCCAAATTCACCTTAAACTGTGAAGCCAAAAATGGGAAGAAAAAAAATCAATAAACAAAGGTAAGTTATTGCGGCAAACTACTACAGAAAACAAACTGTAGTAAAATAAGTAAACCACTACTTTGTAAAAATTAAAAGAGCACAATTTAAAAATGCCTGCGCTCAAATACTGCCTAACGATAAATGATGGTTTGGTAGAATCGAATAAAGGGAGTCACATGCATCAGGAATGTGTGTCACACTTCTATTGCTGAATGGTTGTTGCATGATGATTTACATGTGAGATGCATTTAAATCACACTGATTGTGGGAGTTCAAGGCTTGCATATACAGGGCAGAACTGAACAAGAATAGCTACATATGTGACAGAAGGTAATGTACCAATATCAGAAATGTTACAATCACAGAAAACACATAGAAGTCTATATTATTCAATCTTTAAACTACTCTTATTGATAAAAACTGTGTTTTTGTCCTCTTACAAATAGTCATTGTTTTTTTATTGTTAATTCTGGTCTAGGTTTGAAGAAAAAAAGTTTATAAAACTATACTTGATCACCAACTGCAATTAATTTTCTTGTATACGTCTTTGTATTAAATTTTATATTAATTCCTTTATACATATATGATAAAATAAATAAATAAAGGCAGTTTCAATGTGTAAACATTCAAATATTGACATTTTTGTACATTTAAGGTGACACTATTTTCAAAATTATAAGTCTCATTTAATCCCTTGCCTATAGTGAAATTTGTTTCTTCAATAATGGTATTTTTCATACACAGTCTATATATCTATTCTTTTGATTATATTAACATACTTTTCTTTTTCTTATTATAGTTAAAGAATTTCTATCTTCACCATCTATGCAACAATGTCAAGCCTCAGACATATGGTTAAAAGTTTTAATCTAGCATGGCTGTCTCACGCTATGCCACGAGACTTCTCAGTACACTTCTTTTGAATACTTCTTACAAAAAAATCTAATTTTATATCAGTTGTACTCTCTTTTCTATTTTATTGTACCCAAAATTCATTTCACTTTTCAGATATTTTGTTTATAAAGTTGAAAGTAGTTTGTTTTTTTATCAAACATCTAATATTGTACTTCAGTCATTAGTTACATACTGTTTTTATTTACAGTTAAACTCTTCTTAGATATAAAATATCCAAACAACAATATTTAAATAATAATTTCCAGAAAGCATTATACACAAAGAAATAATGGTTATTATGAAAGATGTACAAAACAACACAGTTTTAAAATAAAGACAATAATATGCAATATCATAGTTCCTACAAAATAAATAAAAACACGACCATAAGTAAAAAAAGATGAGAACATATCAATAAACTAAATTACAGAAAAAAATGTAAACAAAACTTTTCATCTTAAGTTATAATATCTGACTTCATTGTAAATTTTACTTGAGAACTTTAGGCAGTGAATATTGTCTTTCAGTAGTCTATTTACAGAATGATTAAGATTAGATTTAGTTTTTCTGACTACAGAAAGACAAGAGCAAACTAAATCTGTGCTTCTCAATCAGGGTTCCGCAGAACCCTTGGGTTCCTCAACAGATATCTGGGTGTTCTGTGGAATGCAAGCGTTCCACATATTCTAATGTGTAAATATGTGCTAGTCACAAAATTGAAATCTGACTAAATCACATTTCTTTTTTAGTATAGCGGGTTTCATAACAAGTTACTGCATTGTTTTAAATTAATGAGTGTGACTAGGTAGAAAAGGTTACTAGTACTGCAGTAACGTTTTTTGTAATGAATGCTGTGAAGGGTTCCATTACACAAATTCGATGCCAGAACAGTTCCATGGATTCAAAAAGGTTGAGAATCATTGAACTAAATAACTTGAAAGACAATCCATAGTAACATAAATTGATATTTCTTGGTGTTACCTATGTAACGAACTACTCACAAAGGTCTTATCAAGTATATTTTTTTATTAATATTGTGTAACATTTTAGCTAACCTTTCTTTTTATTGATTTAAGCAACAAGTTATTGGCTGATCAGGTCATAGAAATACGTCACAATCTTATGTACTCATGGAAATTTGATTTAATAAAGACTAACTTTTTTTATCTTCTCTTTTTCGGCGAGCAAGAAGATAACTATCGCTAGTTACTTCTCCGATGTTTCGTCTTTTCCGAGTAGAGGTTTCACTTGCTGGGTTCCATCTCTGATCTCTTTCAATAATGAGTGTTGAGAACATTTGGCTACAGTTAACATTAATTCTGAAAGATGACAGAGAATGTACATGTAAGTTAGAAACTAATACACAAAGGGTATTGTGCACTGCAGTGTTTAAGAGTAATTTTTTCATTCTTTTCTTTTTGTTTCTGGAATTTGGAAAAACAACAACTTTAGTATTGGGTACGTTTATTTTCAAATTGAATGGCACCTTATGTGACACATGGCCAGAGGGAGAACAACTGGTCAGCAGCATCCACCACCTATATGGATAATCTTTAACAGAAAAGCTGGACTGACTGTGACAAAGTTGAAACTGTGGAACAAGTTAAGCTACATATTGGTCCTTTCGATTTGCAGCTTGGCATACTTTACTATCCTTTTATTACTATCTGGTAAATTATTTGTAAATTCATTAAAGTATTGTAAATTTTTTCATATCAGTAATTATAATGTTACAAACTACACATTTTTATTGCATGTTTTTGAAGTAAAAATATAACAATTAAAGAACGAGTTAATCAAGAGTGAAGAAAAATAAATTTTGTTGGGATATTTTACCAAAATTGATTTCAGGACTGAAAGGATAATATATATCAATTGCATTCTCTTCACTCTGACAGAAGATTTACAAGTGAAAAACAGACATACGTGTGTGTGAGTGTTAATAAAAAACCAAAAACATTGAGGCTTCAAATTAAATATATTTTTCTTTGACTGAGGTTGGCTAAATTATTTTACAACTTACAAGTATTTCCATTATGTTTGGTATAATCACAATTTGCTTTATTTTATTTTTTAATATATAATGATAATTACTACTGGTTAAATAAAAATCCAATGGTGACTAACATAAAATATACAAACAAAAAACCTACCAGTCTGTGAGAGGCAGGGAGTTTTCTCATTCTAATTATTACATCAATCAAAACATTTTCAGTAAATAAAAAAAGGTAAAAGAAAGAAATAATGAACAACATGTAAACTCACATCTGTTTTCCCAAATCCAATATAAAAGAAACTATATTAATACTGGTATCATCTCTAGATGAGTCATCAAGGAGTAGACATGTATCTTGATGGTTTTCCTATAACAGAATTAGCAACAAAAAAGAAAGGGTATTTAGCAATGCTCTTGTATTTCCCTGGATTGTAAATCTTACTATGTACTACAAATTCATCCACAAAAGATTAAAATTAAGAATGCTAAACTGATTATTTCACTTCCTTTCTAAGTTAGGGAACTTTACAGCTCTTAACAACAAAAAAAATAAAGGTTTATCACTTTCTGCATAGAAAGTAACATGCTTTATATGACAAAGTTTACAAAATAGGTTATTGGTTTCTATTAAACTTATATTCCTTTTCTTTTTTTTTAAAGTCTGTTTGTGAAGTGAACTTTACAATGCTTGTTGTGATATATCAAACTTATAAATATTTTGGGGATTTGAATATTATTAACTTACATAACATTTATTTAGACTGCAGTCTTCAAACTTAGCTTTATCAAAACTACATGTCTCAATGAGAACTAATAGAGTTCCTACAGTAGTGTTTGACTGCATTACAAAACTGTTGGCATAAATGTGAAGAAATATGTTGTAGAGTAATTTTGCAGTTTCATAATTAACAAATGATAAACTCATCATAAGTGTAAGCTGTTTCTTGGTTTCATTTATCATTATACAGAACTTACTCATATGATAACATGGGGTAGTATTAACAAGTAGGCCAACTGTTCTTACCTTATTCATTGTGCCATTTCACTTCCTATAAGTTTAATGGTTTCTTTAGGATTACAGTAACTTTAGCAACCATGTTCAACTATCTATGGCTTATCCTTTCAAGGTATGTATTTGGTAAAACAGAAATTTAATCATGTAGTTTAAAAAAGTTATAACAGTGAAAAGAATAAAGAATAAAAGAAAAAATAAATTATAAGATGCAGAGATATTTAATATTGCAAACAAAAAAGATAGATAACATACATATATGTGTGATGCTATGAAGATATATGATAAGATCAATGTTATGATCTGTGTTATACATAAACAAGTTTTATTTTGTTAATTTTAAATGTAATGTCTTAAAAAGCATATATTTTGAAAGTTAGTTGAATCCTTTCCCACTTTTAAAGGCACACATAGAGCTAGTTCTTTCCTCTGGTTTCCTGTGTTTACACATTCTTCCTGGATAGGATGTCAGTCAATCAAAGGTTAACCCCTAGTTATTATGTGGTATCCATTGTTCAAGCTGGGCAGATAAACAAATTTTGGGTAAGTGTTTTGTTCAAAGACTTAATGACTAGGCATGGGTGAGCTTTGACCCCATAGCCTTTCAATTACCAGTATGTCATATTAATACAGTTGGATAGGTTAGTGGAACTTGAAAACTGATCAGCTCCTTAAACCCAAGTGGACACTGTCAGCATCTGGCCAAAAATCCTGATTTACTCATTGGGATGGTGACAGTGTCTGATAACATTTATGTCTCTTTGGCTGAAAACTAATCCAAACCATGCTATTATCCACCTTGTATAAACAGACTTGAAGTTCCGTAAAGCATTGTCGTTTGTTTGAAAACAAATTTCAGAATTATGGGTTTAAAAGAGTTAATTGATAACAGTCAAATAACTGATTATTCTCACATAAGAGTTGGAATAATAATGATAAATCAAAATGGCAATATTTTAATCACTTAGGTAGTAGGAATAACCAAAAACAGTAATAACCTATAATGCTAATTTCAATTAATCAATTATTTTACATGACACTTTCAATATGTAAAATACACTTACCAAATATGGGGTCACACTGTCACTATTTGTTCTGATTAGAGTAAATCCAAACTGAAAAATACAAAAATTTGGTAAACTGTTCTTAAAATACCTTCAAACAATTTCTATGTATCTACTTCATAAAACACATGTATGTAGTTATATTCTCAAGCCTAAAATTATGGCAAGAGCATAAGCAAGTCAGCATCAATATCCATGTACTGTATAGCACTTTAAAATAAGCTCATGTTGCACAAGAATTCAAACAAATTTATATACAAAGCTACAGAAATACTTTTAAACTATTCACTGAGAAACAGATGAGAAAATATTGTGGAGTACATGGAACACTCTTACGTAAGTAATGTCGATTTCAAGGAAGTATTGCAAATGTGAAACTTTATGTTATTGAATAATCTTTAAATAATCCTGGTATTGTTTTGCTAATGTACATGTATTTGTAATAAAATAAAGCTGTTTATACATTAAGGCAATTTTTTCATTATGAATACAATTTATTATCCTCTTTGAGGTACACATACAAAACAAGGTATAGGTATAAATGTCTAATCTGGCAGATCCAAAAATCTCAAATCCTTAAACACTAGAAAAGGTAAAGAAAAAACCCGTATAGTAAGTTAGTTTAGTGATTTTCAAGAATGGTTAACTTGTACTTAGAAAGCATAATATTTTTTGTAAAAATATGAGATTTATATTATTTTAAAAATCAGGCTTTTAAGGAACCTTTTTTTAATCATAGGACTGTTAAGTTATAAATTCATCAAAACACCACTATAGATCATGAATTTAGAAATGTTTATTTTTAAGCACAAAGCTACACAATAGCCTAGCTGTGCTGTGCCAACCATGGGTATTGAAAACTGGTTTTTAGTGTTATAAGCCTTCAGACTTACTGCTGAGCTACTGAAGGGGTGGGGGTGGGGCACTTGGATATGAAAAGAAAGGTATTTGTATGATTGGAACGGTATTTAAACTAATCAGGAATTAAGAACAGGTTTAAAATAATACTTCTGAATTTTAAAAAATTTGCTAGCTGCTAATACTTTTTTAAATCCCTGAAACAGTTTTAGCTTTGCACATAGCCTACAACTTATGACAATTTAAACATGTAGTGTATAATCCACAACTGCTAAACAACTTACAGTAAATGACTCAAAATTAACCTACACTTTAAAAACACACAGGTAGTGAGTACGTGTAAGTGTTGCTATAGTACTAAAAATATTGTATTTAGTAGATGCATCAAATGTTATTTAACTGTAACAGTGTAATGCTATCAGCATATCCACTTTTACTAATAGATATAAAGCCTCTTTATTTAAGTTGTATTTGCCATATGTTATATTTTAACTGACTGAGTTTGCAAGTCACTTGTAACTGTCAAAGGACAACTACTTTCTTGATTATTTGTGACTCAGTAAAAGAGGCATTATTTGTGACTCAGGCATAAAGAAAAAGGTTTGGCTCAGAGTATCCACTACCATAAAAGCAGAATCTGTAACTGTAAGTGGAAGAATATGACTGACAGCTGTTACAAATGTACCAATCATACAACAAGTTAGCCAATGGCATAACCATTAAAATACTAAAGGGTTCACTCTGTGAGAAGAAGCCAATGATTTCTGGAAAGAAAATATATAAGAATGTTTATAAAATCTTGCACATGACAAGCTTGGAGATATATGTGGTGTGAATGTAGCCAAAGAAGTAGAGAGAGACTGCATTAAAACAAAGGCTGTGAGATCAAGTTTCACCTTGATTGTTGATATATGCCACCACAGAAGGATCGTCTGTATGAAGAAAAACAAAATGGTAGTGTATGAAGGGTAGGAACTCTTGACATGCATGTTAAACTGCCTAAAGCTCCAAAACATTGACGTGAGAAAGTAATTCCATAGAAGACCAGAGACCTAAAAGATAATGTTCCCACAATACAGCACCCAACCTTGAGAAAGACATCTGTGAAAAGATGCAGATCTAGATGAGGTAGAAGAAAAGGGGAACCTATAGTAGTATTTTCTTGATTGAGCCAAACTTGAAGGTAATTGAGAGTAGCAGGAGGAAGGAAAATTCTCAAAGACAATAGGTCTGAAGATAAATGCCAATGAAAGACAAGATCCCAATGATAATAAGATAAAAACACATGACCTTCATCTTGAAATAAGGAATGTCTTTATAATGAATAAGATTGGAAAGATGTATTACCGATCTACAATATTCTGATTTCTTTGTAGCTATGAAAAGTTTGTGTAAAAATGTGGATAAAAATGAAGTGCTGTTTCAATAGCCCCTTTCAGTAGAAGATTTGAAAATTTTTGGCCCAAAACATGAATACAAACTAGACTGGACAGGAGAGGAAGAAAAACTGGAGTATGATGAAATTGGATAGAAAAATCTGATGAACCAAAGGGTTCCAAAGATTAATACAGAATCCCAGAACTGAGAAGAGAGGCTATTTGGAAAGAAAGAAAGTCAATGTCTTGACTGAAAAGACTCCCTGCTTGCTTCTATGGTTTGCAATTCGAAAGGAGAAAAATTAACAAGAAGCAGTAGAAGTAAAAGACTGAGAAGTGTAAGAGGAAGAAATGGGTAATGCAGGAGGACAGCAATAATTAAATGTATGTTGAAAAGTAGATCCTTCATCAGCTCCTGTTGAAAAGCTTGTCCTGATTGAGAAATTAATTCAGGAGAAATATCAGTAAAGATAAAAGGGTGCAAGAAAGAGACCCTTTGGAGGTCTTCATAAATAATGCAAGGAAGTAAAATAGCTCTACGAGCTGATAACACAAAAGTACAAGCAAGCTCCCTTGTAACTGAGACCAAATCAGTATGTGCTGTACAAAAAGAAACATGTAAACCATTTACTTTCTAAAAAAAACAAAAAAACATGAGAACAAGAATAGCTTATAGCTAATAATTGAGCTGTTGAAGAAAGTCATAAAATAAGCATAAGTACTGAGAAAAGGTGAGAATACTAATGAGAAGACATGATGGGACACATCATGTATGATGCCCCCAAAAAACCAATCTGAGGGTCTAAAGTTTGAGATGATAAATGAACAGATGAAGAAGACTCTGCTCAAAGGTCAGTGAAATGAGAAATATGAGGGAAATGAGATCTTTGGGAATTGCCTCTATTCTAAAAACACCAGCATTAACCGAAGTGTCAGAAGGAAGGAGAAATAAAGATTTCAATATGGAATCTAGGAACAAAACACTAGAACCATCAGATGTAGCAAACCGTTTCAAGATTTAAAATTATATATATACTTGGAAGAAAAGATAAATAAGTTCAGTGGAAGCTTTATCAGTACTAGAGCTGACTGGAAAATTTTATTCCTTGGAGAGAAGAAGAAAGAGGGTGATTACCCATCAAAGTGGCATCCATGAGATCTTTCAACTTGCCAGGAACACCCACATAAGCCTTTGCATTAATGGCCGAAACACATTGATCAGTACAGGCTGACAGTGCAGCTACAGGAACTACCTGTACACCATGGAAAGAATACTGAAATATGGCTTCAGAAAAGCAGAAGTACTTGTTTCATTGATGGAAGCATTAGAAGAAGAAATAACTGTAGCATTAGTTGAAGTGTTAGCTTCAGAAGTAAAGTAAACTTCAGAATTCACAACTTACACAAAAAATAAAAATAGAATGATGGTAGCATGTGTATGGTGTTTGAAGTGAGAGATAAAACAACAAATATTTTTTGTTTTGTTTTTTCCAGTTTGGTAACACATGCACCAAAAATATAGTTGAGTAGAATCAAAGTAGAAAGTAAATATTGCAGGTTTTAAATAACACAATGGAGTGTGTATAAAGAAATAAGCAACAATTTTAATTTTTGTTTAATTTGTGGTGAACTTCTTTAAAATGTATAATAATTTATGAGTAAAAAGTACTGTAAACTCTTTTGTCTTCCACATTTTTCATTTTAAGTAAGGTAGCCTTACTTCTGAAGTACTGTAGACCTTTCTTGTTGAGTTTACTCTGATTTTTTCAACAATGTCCTCTATGTATTTAGAGCATGCTTCATTTCCTCATAATTTCCCAATCGCATACCTTCCATGTAACGTATTGCACATTCCTCAAGAGATCTTGCAGCTAACACTATATAATCAGGTGTGAGTAGAGATTAATAATGTAAATTTACACTTTCCACTGTTAAATTATGGATGTTCACACAGTCTCTTTATTATTGAGACTTTTTGTACAAAATTAGTCTTTACATGTACAATCTATTTTTGTCTCATTGTAATTTTAAAACATTTGGATTTGCCTTTAATGTGAAGTGTTACATGTACTTATCAATTGGAAAAATTACTAACACAAAGTCTCAATTTTTTTAATACATACATACTGGCCACTATTCAAAAATTTTGTATCATTGTAAAAGTTGTAGGTATTTTGCATTGTACACAGAATAATCAAAAAATTGTGTACAATTTTAAACTCACCTTGGTTTCAAAATTTGGGGGTACAAATGATAACTCATTCACTTGTACATCAAGTTTTCCACCTTTCAGGAAACCAAATGTACTAACAGTGAAGTATCTACGGACATCTTTCTGAAAAAAACAAACAATCTTCAATATGCATACTTAAACATCACAAAAAATTAGTTTTTGGACACATTTTGAATATTACATGCTAAAGTTTCACCTATCCACCAGTTTAAACCATTAGTACGAATTAAACTATGATGTAGTAACAGGCAAGTCATACAACAAAAATGACATTCAACTTAACCCTGTATAATGTGTTCATCATTAATTTGTTCTTTTCACAGAAATATGGAAGTTATTGTAAACATGTGACATCAACACATGCTGAGTTGCAATGCACAAATAGTTAACTTAGGGAGGTAAATGAGAAAGTAACAGAAAAATAAAATATGTTCACATAACACTATAAACAGGTTATACCACGTAAATTATATATACCTATTAAAAATGAGTAAATCATGGTGATTAACTCGATTATCTATGCACTGATTACATTAATAAATATCACATAGTATAACTGACTAATCAAAATTATGATTAAATAGATTAAGGTCATGAAAATAATGAACTAATTACGGTTAATGTTCTTAATTATTCCACCTTTCTTAATAGTTAAAGTATTGCCATTATGATTTCTCATTAATATTTTTGATTAGTTCAAGGTTTTCAAGATTAGTGTTATGATTCAAGAAAATAACCAACTAAACAGAATTAGTGTCCCTTATTATTCTAACTATTCAAGTCTCATGTGAGAAGAATTGATTAATTTAATGTAATCCATTAATGAGCTTGATTATTAATCAATTAGTAAATTATACTAATAGCTCAGCTTTGCTAAAAAGTTAGCTTTAACAGCCTATAAACATATGTAATATTACAAGTCACCATGTAAATGTCAGTTGTCCAGTCTAGGTGACTTGAATCTTGCATATGGTGCTTAAATAAATAGTTCCAGGGAATCCACAATCCTGTATTGAGCTAGTCAAGGCTAATATTAATGTTCATATGCCAATCACTGAACCATCACAATGGTACCAAAAATGGGCATCTCTTTGAATGTTTCTCCTAGAGTTTTTCATTTCTTTATTTTTTGCCATCTTTGATCAAAACTTTTTGTGATGAATTGTTGTAGCATTTCATCATGTGATATATGGTTGTTTCTTTTATTTTATGTCAGTAGGGCCTGTGTTCAGTACTCTTTCAAACTTTTTATATATTTTTTATTCAGCAATAACCTTGCTTCCAAACATATTTTCAATAGTGTTGTGATCTCTTCATAGTGCAGTTTTGTCAGAGTATTTGAGAATTTTTATAAAGTACTGAACTATATATATATATATTTTTACTTATGACTATGACTACCAAGTGGAATACATGTGCCTAAATCATCCATTAAAACTAGAGGCAGTATAGAAACAGATGTACATGTAATTACCCAAGAGATAACAGTGACACCTAGGGGTTAAACTTTTTTGTTTCATAATGAAAACTGTTGAGTGGTTTCTATTAATTTGCCAACATATTTTGTAATTTTTTCTAATTTGTTGAAATGTCCTGTTAATTAAATTTATCAACTAGTGTTTAAAGAATCTTCAATGTGTACATGTTTCAATGTGTGATTATGTAGCCTAGATTCACAATGTTATTACACATCAATGTTATTGATTTTTACCAACTCAGTTATTGGTATATCACTATTTTTTGTTTTCTAGGTCACTCATTTTTTCAATTACACATTCACAGTAGCTTCATCACTTGTGTAAAAAGTACTGATGATATACTTTTGTTCTTAGAACGTAAACTGCTTCTGATTCACTTAATCCTCAGTTGACATATTTTCAAAGCATTAGGACTCCTAGGCCTAATCATGCTTACGAAATGATTTCACACCAAAAATATGTAATCTTTTAAAGCTAATGTAATATTTCAAGGGATACTATACACCATTAATAAATCAAAGCATGAACCCCAGATATTTATTGCTAAACACCTTTCTTTTCACTCTTTAACAGTTGTAGTAAATAAAAAGGAAGGTTTAATATCAGTGATTATGTGTTATTCAAAATACCAGATTTCATAACTGGGTTAGTCTTCTAGTGGTTTCATTGAATGAAAGTGCATATTTTTACATGAACAGTTTGTAGAAACATTCTCACAGACTGACTCTTGAAGTGTTGGAAAGTGTTAAGGAGGACTACTACAACAGTACTACCTGGTATGGAAGGACTGAAATGGTTTTTATCTTGAAAAGGGAATCGTTGGAGGTGGGGTGGGGGAGGTGATTGAAGTTTTCAGGGTTATTGAGGGAGTTGGTAGTATTTATGCATAATCTTTTTTGATATTTAATGGTGAGAATGGTAAGATAAGGAGACAAAAAACTAAATTTTGAAAGGGTAGGATTCATCTTCAGCTTAAACAGTTTGACTCTTCTAGCAGGATGGTTGGTCTTTAGAATGCCTACAAATCTGGTGGATGCAGTACGGTAAATTTAATGGAGTTTAAGAGAAGGTTCAATAAATATTTAAATGATCAGTGCTGGATTTTAGTTTTTAACCCGTTCCATGGTATGCCCGAGATAATTTATACACCCTCCACATTTCAAAAACTGTTTACCCAAGTTAATTCCAATAAACCATTTCTCACTGTATTTTAAATTATTTGTCTGAAGTTTATTTGCATGTTATCATGTATTACAATCAGTGCTCACTAGATGGCATTGGAAATGCAGTTTGTGCTGATCTTTATCGGATTTATTCTAATTATGTATCAAACACTGGAGGAATGCATTCTTATTCTTTACTGTAGTTTCATTGAAATAATATATAAAGTATAAATTTGAATAAGTAACATTTATTTATCAAGTACATTTTGTTCAGAAGTATAACACGACCATAAAAGACCTTTTGCTACATTAATATACAAGTATAACTATCACAAAGCAAAATAAATAACCTGACTTTTTTAGCTCATTTCTCAAAAAAGCCCAACTCAAAAGGAGTAAACTGGATAGGACAGCCTCAATGGATTAACAGGCCCCTTCCTTAAATGTTATATTATAGTATATGATATCACATTACAACATATCTTACAAACTTATCCACAGAGCAAAAAAACAGTAACTGCTTTTAAAAGCTAGCTTTTCCATTTACTAACTTGAAACAAGTAGATATCATTTGTAAAAGAATATTGAATCAGCATAAGTTTATATTGAGTGCTTCTCCTGTTTATTCCATACAGATTTGCTAGAAAGAATATATAATGTTAATAAGGATGTGGAGGTAATTCAAAATAACTTGGATCAACTGGTAAGTGAAAAGAAAACTGTCAATAAACAGATGTTAAAAATGAAGTATGAACTTACCTATGAAAGTATAGGAGAGATTTTGTAATCACATTGATTGTAAGCTTGAAATACCATGATTGACAGATACATACCAGTAGTAACCTCCACCTGTTCTACATTATATCAAGATGTAATTGATAAATCATTCATACCACTTTTATCATAGACTATCGTAACACACGTTCTTTCATTCTAGCCATACCCAACAATATGACATCTAGCAACTGTTGTCAGGACAACATATTGTCTGTTTATGCCTAATGGTATGATGTAAAGCAGGTTGTTGCCAAGCCAATGTATAGTCTGTTTACAAGCCCCATTCATCATTTTTTGACATGCTGGCAATTGGATTTGGGCAGACATATCTATGGATCGGTTTATGCATTGTGTAATATGCACCAAAAAAGTTTATTTTATGGCTTTGTTTCTACAAATTCAATTATAAATGGTTTTAAAGTTTTATTTATGTGTTTTCAAATAGAAAATTATTTTGGATACAATGAAACTGTATTTGAACCGACACCCTGTTTTTGGTTTTAACATTTGCTCACTGGTTGCTGACAAATGGTGGAAAAAAAAAGTTTAGCAATCATCACAATTTTTTAAAGCTGATTTACAACTAGTGGGAGTATGGTTGCCTTGAAATAAATCATGCAAATTCAGTATATCAGTGCTGTAGACATTTTTAGTTTGTTGTTTGGTGTACTCAACTACTAAAAGTAAAAATGTTGCAACTTCTTTTATAACCAACATAGTGCAACAACTCGAAGTAATATGGAATTAACATTATGCTTAACACAATTTTTTTGTTGTTGTTGTTGTTTTTTACTTTGGCATTTTACAAATCAGAATGTTTACACTACAGAGTACAGTTTAGTAAAGTCCCTAGTTATATGGAAGGAACTTGTTTAAATTTTATGGGTAAGCTCTTGTGGTTTAATTCGTAATTGTTAAAATTACTTTGGATAACAAGTAAAAGTTAAGTTACAGCTAGACACTCCCATGCACAGTCCTTAAAAATACATTACTAATATTAATTTAGTAATTAGCACTAGCAGGCTAGTAGTACTAGTCGTAGTAGCACAGAAATACATTACCACTATCACGAGGTCGACTTCCAAGTCATTGTACCATTACTTTATATATAAACATTATAAGACAACGAGAAATACCCACTGTTAATGTTAAATGGTGTTTCCGTCCTTCCACTATACCAGAAAATAAAATAAAAATCAATTGAAGCCCGAAACTTTGAAAACACACAAACTTCATTATTCTCCTCTCCCAAAAGCACAGTGCTGACACCTGGCTTTACAAGTCTTATTATTTGATATTTTCCATAAATGCCGAAATAAATCCTATTACTTAGTGTAAGATTATAAACGCACAACGAAGTCATATACAAGGTTTAAATATTGTTTGAATGGGAAGCTGTCTCTAACCTTTATTAGCAATAAAGTGTATTTTTCATCATCAAATTTCAAATTCAGATATGTTACTGGTATAAATATTTAATTTTTAGAGGACGTTACGTATTATCTGGGTGATAGAAAAGGCGTGGACTTAGTGTATTTCGATTTTCAGGGGAGGATCTGATTAAGGTGTTTAAGATTGTAAAGAGAATTGATAGTGTTGATGCACCCTCTTTTTTCATAGTTAACAATGAGAATAGTAGAACTAGGAAACACAAATATAAATTATGGCAAGGTAGGAGTCATCTTCAGTTGAGACAGTTATGACAGGGTGGTTGGCCTTTGGAATAGGTTGCTTTCAGATGTTGTAGAGTCAGTAAATTTAAGTGATTTTAAGAAAAAGCTTGATAAGTATATGAATGATAAGGACTGGCTTTAAGATTTTTTTAAATTATTTTAATTTAGTTTAGAGGAAAGAACAGCAGAGATGGACCAATAGGTCTTAAATAGTTGTTAGTTGTAAATCGTGATAATATTTGAGGCATATAAGCAAACCCACACTGACATCGTAGGCGTAAATCTCATCCTGGTATGGTCAATCTTATTATTGTGCTGTATTTTTGCTATAGCAAGTATAATAAAAATAAATTAAATTTTATAAAGACAAATAGGAATTGATATATAGGTAACCTAGCTAGCTATAGTAATATAGAAAGCTGCTTAAAAGGTTACTGAGTTACTTAAAATACAAAAAAAAACTATCTCTTCATTGACTCAGACTAACATAATTACAGCGTTTGCTAAGCTAGAGATAATTTTTTTTTAATTTGAGTAACTCAGTTTTTGACTTTCTTGTTTCAATACTTTTGTTGCATTAAAACTTTCCATATTATTGAGACCCCAGACGAAAAAGTTCTATGAAAGAATTAAAGCGATAAGGTTCGTCATTTTATCTGTACGCTTGTCTGGAAAAGTTACTTTGATTCACTCCCTAAACATGTATATAGAGATTTAAGTGGCTTTATAAGTACAATAAGCACTAGTTTTTCTCCGCCAATACTATGAAATAGTCATTATTAAGATTCAGACATTTTAAAGGTGGTTTTTAAACAGGCGATTTTTATGGCTGCAATTTTGTTTCATGGCGATCCCTACTATTAAGTACTGCCGTACTCAATGATAATGAAACAAAAATCGTATTTAAAGGTAAATGTCATTTCTGAAAGAAGGTTACCATTTTCTTTTAAAGAGTGTTTTATAAAAGTATTGTGGTTGATTAACTTCCTTCAAGTGCTGTCTGTTCAAACTTGTACTCATATAACCAGACTAATTTGGTTATAATCAAGAGTACACTCCCTAGCGCCACATCCAGAAATCATTGGAATGAATGTCTCATGATCTCTTATACATTCACGCAAAATATTTCGCTACGTGTTATAGCCACCCTGTACATCAAGTTTATGAGTATATGCAGTTACTTTTTGTTCACAAAGTGTCATCGTGTACAACCAATTAACATTAACATTAAATTTATACTAAAATACCACTTCTTAAATATTCTGTCTTCATTTCAAATTTTAAATTTACGGATCTGCAATGGTATATATCTTGAACGCTGCACGGTATACTCAACTAAGAATTCAAGCACTATACGTTTCTGGTTTGTAAGTTTTCACAAACGAGAATGAATTTTGATTTTAATCAAATTAACATGATAATCAAAAATAAATTAGAATTATAGATTTGGAGTAATATTTTTTATTTCATTTCGTTTGCAGTTGAACACAATTTTAAGTTTGAAAAAAGGATTATGTGAGCTCCAACATAACTCTAACATAGAAAACGATTCCAATACTGAGGAAACACCCCAGGAAATTACTGCAGGGCCTAGCACAGCTGTTGCTGCTAGCGATTTGTTAGAAGGTTCCGAAATTTTGCTGACTGATTCCATGATCATAGCCTGTTCTATACTACTGATATACCAGAACTCCAACAATATGGATAACTCCAGCATGTAACATTCATGCCACATAGCCACCACCGCTTAAATACACAACTCAGGCAGAGTTGTGGTGAGGATCAGGTTAAAAGTCGCCACTTTCATCATGCTCTCTTTAATATTCAGGTCAATCGCTATAACCCAGTAATCATTTTGTAAGAACAGATGTTATTGCGATAGAGTTTCTGGAGACTCCTGGTTAAAAATTTAGTGTTACAATATCCAATACCATTGCCAAAATGGATGCAATGATCGCAAATATGGTGCCACTATGAACATTTTTTTATATACTGAAACCCTCTAAAGCTATTTCCAGTAACAGTTTTTATATTGAAACCCTCTAGAATTATTTCCAGTTGACGGCACTCGTCACAATTAACAAACAAATATTTCGCCCATATGTCGCGCACTTCACTCTACAGACTTCACTACTCTTCACTACTCCACACCATACTATTATAACCACTCTGTTGTATATCGATTTAGTAATACAAAATATGACAAAATGGCAACAAAATATTTATCTAATAAGTTCCTAATTTTTTAGTTCATCACAGTTTCCTTTGTAATGGCCCCCAGTGGCACAGCGGTATGTCTGCGGACTTACAACGCTAGAAATCGGGTTTCGATACTCTTGGTAGGCAGAGCACAGATAGCCCATTGTGTAGCTTTGTGCTTAACTTCAAACAAATAGACCTTTGTAATGGTCCCCAGTGGCACAGCGGTATGTCTGCGGACTTACAACGCTAGAAATCGGGTTTCGATACTCTTGGTAGGCAGAGCACAGATAGCCCATTGTGTAGCTTTGTGCTTAACTTCAAACAAATAGACCTTTGTAATGGTCCTCAGTGGCACAGTGGTATGTCTGCGGACTTACAACGCTAGAAATCGGGTTTCGATACTCTTGGTAGGCAGAGCACAGATAGCCCATTGTGTAGCTTTGTGCTTAACTTCAAACAAATAGCCCTTTGTAATGGTCCTCAGTGGCACAGTGGTATGTCTGCGGACTTACAACGCTA